AGGATGACCTGCCCTCTCTTGCTCTCTTACTGCTCTGCTCTTCTCTTGAGCAGACTCTTCCTGAAGTATTCGTGTTATTAATAAAAAATAATAGGAATCAGTAAGTAATCATTTATTTAACACATCTCTTGAGCACCTGCTGTATGCCAGATGTGGTGGGAGGGAGGGATACTCAATTGAGCAGTGTGGTCCTCCTTCTGAAGGTCTTACAAATAATGAAGTTCTAATAAGTGCAATGGCAGAGAAACAGGGAGAAAGGAGAAATTCAAGGTGGGGAAGTGAAAATATGAGTTTATAAAGAAAATAAGTACTTACAAAGGAATTTGCACTAATTTTTGTTGGAAAAGTTGGCTGTGTATAGAAGAAATGTGTTAGAGATTCTTCTGCTCATTCGTTTATTCACTTGATGATGCGTCCTTGCTCTGCTCCAGAAACTGTGCTGAGCATTAGAGGCACTTGATAAGCAAATGCAGGGTCTGCCGGGGTTGCACAGAGGTGACCATCAGAGCAGAGAAAGGGCATCTAACTCAATGAAGGATTGTTGGTAGGTCTTTTTTCTAAAAGGATCATCAGGTCTCAGGAGTTAAAGCCACTGGTTGAAAAAAGTAATAAAGGCATGGCATGAAATTCTATTCTGTCCTATCTCGAACTGTTGGGTATCCACCCACCAATCAGCATTTATCCATCATACAAAGGGACAAAGATAAGTGAGTGCATGGAAAACTGCAAGTAGGGTTTTATTTTGAGTGCTCTCTGTGTGTTAGGTTTTATGCAAAGCCCTTACATCCACACGTAAAGGTTCAGAAGGTTGGAGTCAAACAGAAGTGCTTCTCATCCAGCTCTTCTGCTTACTAACTGTACGACCTTGAACAATTCTCCTAACATCTCCTGATCTCAGTTTTTATCATCTGTAAAATAAGGATAGTCCTAACTAACACCAACCTCACAAGACAAAACCAGTTTTTCTATGCAAAGTCACTTTGTGCAATGCTGGTGTATGGCAAGTGCTTAGTAAATGCTGGCTCGTTTTCATTACAACTTGAATTGTACTCATTCACTGCCCTTCCAGAGGAAGCTGTGGTTTAGAAATGTGCCCGAGTCACTCCTCTTGAGTGGTGCAGTCAGCCCTGCCTAGTTGCCTCGCACATTAAGGTGGTGGGTGTTGGAAATAAGACTGGGGGAGGCGAGTCCAGATCTCAAAGAGCCCGGGATATTGAATTTTATCACAAAGGCAGTGGAGAGCCTCTGCAGGACCTTAAGGTGGAGATTAATAAGAGCAAATTTACATTTTAGAAAGATGATTCTGGCAACAAAATATGGGATGGTTCAGGGAAGGCAGGGACCTAGCTGAAAGCCCGGTCAGGACTGCTTGCTGTAGCCCAGGAGAGAACGGCGGGGACTGTGAGCCTGGAGCAGCCGTGGGATGAATGAACCGGAGCATGTGGGCAAAGGTGGGTGCTGGGGGGACATGTGGAGAGGGAACAAGTGGGTGGCATTCAGCTGCTGTGGGGCTTCCGGCTCTGTCAATGGGTAGGTGATGGCACCTTGGGCCAAGGTGGGGAATCGGGAGGAAGGGGCTTTGAGCCCGATAAGCGTGGGGTACTTGTATGATGGGGGAAATGCCCACGTGGCATTTGGACATACAGATCAGTCAGGGAAACTCAGGACTGCAGATACCAAGTTTGGGGTTGAAGCTGTGGGAGTGTGATCACTCAGTCAGGCCATGCACAGCACTGAACCCCCAGATCAGACCTCCTCTCCCCACAGGCAGAGAGATGAAAAGACAACCAATGTCACCACTTTCAGGGTGTCACAAGCAAGTAGGGGAGAACACATTAAAAAAGAGTCACTTCAGCTATTGCCAAATGCTAACAATATAACACTGTTGTAAAGTATAATGTGGCCAAAATATTGCATAATCTTTCATGATAAACTGTAGAAGCATTCCTTTAAAAGTAAACAACCTTACAGTTAAGATAGTTATTGTAAGCTCAGGAGGAAGACTTACTTCACCAGAGAAAGAAACCATGATGTCCCAAGAATACAAGAGAAAAGACAAGTGCCCAAGACTGGGAGGACCTTTAAGACCAGGTCAGCAAGACACTCTTAAGATAAATTAAAGAGGACACTAACAAATGGAAACTCATTCCCACGCTCTTGGCTAGGAATAATTAATATTGTCAAAATGGCCATCCTGCCTAATGCAATCTACATATTCAATGCAATCCCTATCAAAATACCAACAGCATTCTTCAATGAACTGGAACAAATAGTTCTAAAATTCATGTGGAACCACCAAAGACCCCGAATAGCCAAAGCAATCCTGAGAAGGAAGAGTTAAGCAGAGGGGATCTCGCTTCCCAATGTCAAGCTCTACTACAAAGCCACAGTAATCAAGACAATGTGGTACTGGCACAAGAACAGATCCATAGACCAGTGGAACAGAATAAAGAGTCCAGATATTAACCCAAACATATATGGTCAATTAATATACAATAAAGAAGCCATGGATATACCAAGGGGAAATGACAGCCTCTTCAACAGCTGGTGTTGGCAAAACTGGACAGCTACATGCAAGAGAATGAAACTGGATTATTGTCTAACCCCACACACAAAAGTTAATTCGAAATGGATCAAAGACCTGAATGCAAGTCATGAAGCCATAAAACTCTTAGAAAAAAACATAGGCAAAAATCTCTTGGACATAAACATGAACAACTTCTTCATGAACATATCTCCCTGGGCAAGGGAAACAAAAGCAAAAATGAACAAGTAGGACTGTATCAAGCTGAATAGGACATTACCAATAGAACAAAAAGGCATCCTACAGTATGGGAGAATATATTCATAAATGACAGATCCGATAAAGAGTTGACATCCAAAATATATAAAGAGCTCATGCACCTCAACAAACGAAAAGCAAATAATCCAATTAAAAAGTGGGCAAAGGAGCTGAACAGACAGTTCTCCAAAGAAGAAATTCAGATGGCCAACAGACACATGAAAAGATGTTCCACATCACTAGTTATCAGAGAAATGCAAATCAAAACCACAATGAGATATCACCTCACACCAGTTAGGATGGCCAACATCCAAAAGACAACAACAAATGCTGGTGAGGATGCAGAGAAAGGGGAACCCTCCTACACTACTGGTGGGAATGTGAATTAGTTCAACCATTGTGGAAAGCAGTATGGAGGTTCCTCAAAAAGCTCAAAATAGAAAAAGCATTTGACCCAGTAATTCCACTTCTAGGAATTTACCCTAAGAATACAGCAGCTCAGTTTTAAAAAGACAGATGCACCCCTATGTTTATCGCAGCACTGTTTACAGTAGCCAAGAAATGGAAGCAACCTAAGTGTCCATCAGTATATGAATGGATAAAGAAGATGTGATACATATACACAATGGGATGTTATTCAGCCATAAGAAGAAAACAAATCCTACCATTTGCAAAACATGGATGGATCTAGAGGGTATTATGCTCAGTGAAATAAACCAGGTGAAGAAAGACAAGTACCAAATGATTTCACTCATCTGTGGAGTATAAGAACAAAGCAAAAACTGAAGGAACAAAACAGCAGCAGACTCACAGAACCCAAGAGTGGACTCACAGTTACTAAAGGGAAAGGGACTGGGGTGGATGGTGGGAAGGAGGGGATAAGGGGGAAAAAGGGGCATTACAATTAGCACACATAATGTAGGGGGGAGTTGCATGGGGAAGGCAGTACAACACAGAGAAGACAATAGCGACTCTATGGCATCTTACTACATTGATGGACAGTGACTAAAATGGGGTATGTGGTGGGGACTTGGTAATAGGGGGAGTCTAGTAACCATAATGTTGCTCATATAATCAGACATTAATGATACCAAAATTAAAATTAAAAAGACCAAGTCAGCCTTCAAGTGGGAAGTAATTAGGTCAGAGAAACAGGTAAAAATGAATAGATACATGCAGATGGGGGGAAACGCATACCATATGCAGTCTTTGGAGCCACAGATGCTTGGGGGGTGCCTGTGTGAGGGGCTGCGGGGGCAGCAGGCCCCAGTGCTCAGGGTCAAGGCCCCTTCAGACATGTACAGAGTGCCAGGAGGGACTGTGAGGGGTCACTAGCCAGCACTTGCAGGTCTTTTCCCAAATGGCCCACAAAGTGAAACCAGACAGCATGCAGTATTTAGGAAGTTTGAAACTCAGACTTAGGTACAAAGTTTGCAAAACCACCTTGGCAGCCAGAGCCTGAGGTAGGTGCCTAGAGGAGGTGTGCACATTCCAGGCAGCCAGTGCAGAAAGGGTGGAAGGCTTTTCAGGATGTGAAACCGCTGGGGACAAAACCCAGCGCCGACAGAAGGAGGAAGCCAGCGTCTCACTGTGAAATGCGGGAGAAACTATCTCCTGCTTGTGTCTGGGAATCTTCATTTTCCAAGAAGAACTAGAGGACCCCAGGGTCCGGGGGCAAATGACTGTGGGAATGGGAGGGACCGGTGACCAAGGACACCCAGACATGAGGTGAGCCCTCCTCTAGGTCTCCACCAGCTGTACATTTCCGGTCGCCTTTTGCTGGAGTCCTGTTGATTCTAATGGTTCTCCTGGCGGGTGGTGGTTTGAGTGATTGGGTTAGCAGATTGAAATGTGGGCTTATGAGAGAAAACAGGACCTAAAAAGTCTGGAGAGAGCACAGTAACTGCAGACTCTCAAACCTGCCCCAGACCCGGGTGTGGCAGGACAGCAGCTCTCCGGGCGACTCACGCACATTGACGTCGTCTTCGGTAGGTGTGGGAGCTGGAGCAGCTGTCCAACCAGCCTGATGATCTGCATGTCCTTGGGGCCAACCGCAGGGCCACCGAGATCTCTGGGCGCAAGGACAGTGGTCGTGCAGCCAGCCTCCTAGGGTCCTGTCGGGTTTGGGAGCCACTGGGCTGATGTAATATTCTCTAAGGCATACTTTATTAGGAATTCCAGAGTACCTGAATCTTTTTCTCCTTTCCCTTTCTACTAGGCGCTGGGAAATCATGAATTTGATAACGGTGTAGAAGGACTGATCGATCCACTCCTCAAAGAAGCCAGATTTCCAATTCTGAGTGCAAATATTAAAGCAAAGGGGTCGCTAGCATCTCGAATATCAGGACTTTATTTACCATATAAAATCATTCCTGTTGGTGAGGAAGTTGTGGGCATTGTTGGATACACTTCGAAAGAGACCCCTTTTCTCTCAAAACCAGGTATTTTCTACTTTTCTAGCACTCATTGTTTGAAAATAGATGCACTAAGTCAGAATTGGCATCATTTTTTTTTGAACTGCCAGTAAAAAGTAGGAACAACATGTGGTATTGGGCAAACGGTGTACTTAGGATGACCTTTATGAAACCAGTCTGGTGGCCCCACTGTGTTCTCTGTCACTTCATCAAGGCCTCCACTCTTCCGGTTAATCACTTCTTTGTTGACATAAACCGTATCTTTGTTTAATTTAGTGCTTCCAAAACCGGCAGGAAGGCCTTTTATACCAGTGCTGGACAGTCCAGGGTCACTTACCCAACAATGAGAGCGGCCTAGCACCCCGCCCTGCTTGCCGTGGAGCCGGGGAGCCCAGGGCTGGGGCTGCACCTCAGTTCACCCTATCTTTCCTCTCCTAGTATGATCATCCCATGACTAGTTAACTCTTCTTTCTCCCTTTTTGTTTTTTATCTCTTGTTTTTAATGACTTTGTTGTATCTGGCTCTCTGGGAAATAGACATATGGTCTTATCATATCTATATCCTAATAGATACAGATAGATAGATAGATAGATAGATAGATAGATAGATAGATAGATAATAAATATATATATATAATAATAGATATCGATCATATGACAGATACCTATATATATACATACCTACATATACAATCTTAAGGCCATTCAAGCAACATTTTTGAGTCACTTTTACAGGAACACTTACCAAAACACTTTGGTAGTGAGAACAAAAATGATCTTTTTCCTAAATTATCGCCATTAATTTTCTTCCCATATTTGAAAAAAAAGGGAAATTAGGATGTAATGTTATCCAAAAACAAGGGTTTTTTATGAAGAATTCACTGATGAAGGACATATAATTATTTGACAATTAGAAAAGTAACACACTTATTAGTAAGCCAGGTCTGGGCCGCTGGAAGGCACAAAACATCAGCTGCCCTTGCTCCCAAGCAGCAGGGCTCCGGCCCTGAGGGTGCTGCCTGCTGCCGGCTGAAGGTGGGCACAGGCTCCGGGCTCCCCCGTCCAGGCCGTGGAGGCAGTCGGGCACTGCAGGTGGCAGGGGGGCCACCTCTGTACACAGTACGACCCACAGCCAGCAGTTACTGTTGAGGTCATTGCAGAGCCGGAGGGTGGCTGTGGAGGCAGCGGGTTGCTGGTGTTTTAGAGGCGCCCTTCTGATGGAAAGGGCGAGATGTGGTCCCACCACAGGGACCGACCAACAGCCCCCAGCCGCCCTCCCCCTGCCCGGCCCGACTGGCACCCTGGCCCTCCTGCTGCAGGCCGGGCGGCTCTGGTGACCAGACCTTCCTGGGGCGAAGCAGTGTGGCAGCTTTGGGGCTACTGGGGCTTTTCTATAAAGAGGAGCAGGAGATGGCAGAGCAAAGCCGTGTGACCTCCAATGCAGCCTCCAGTGTGGGCCGGGCTGGGTGGCTGCGGCCCAGGTGCTGCTGCCCTTGCTGGCCCCGTGGGGTTGGCTGCTCATGCTGTGGGACCCCAGCGCCCCTGGCCTGGGCCCTGGCCCCTGCTGGGAGCTTCTGGCGCTGGCCCGAGCAGCGTGATGGCAGAGCTGCCCCTCATCTCCGTGAGCACCTATGACCCAGTAGGCCAGCTCAGGATCTCTGGGTCAGGACTTGCTCAGTGATTGAATGATTACAGATCTTCATAATTTACATCTGTCCACTGGCTTGTGAGCCCCTTTAAGATAGGATGTAATTAAATGTCATAAAAGAGTCTTAAACAAAGTCAGGGAGCAGGGGAGGTGTGGGGGTGGGAGGGTGAGTGGAAGGAGTGATGGCCTCACCTGGGGCCAGGTAACTTGGTGAAGAGCCTTCCTGGCCCCTCCTGGGCCACATGCAGCATCCCGGGGCAAGGGCACGTCAGCAGCCGGGGCAGAGTCGCAAGCTCCAGGCAGGCAGGGACCTACCGCCCTCACTCCGCTCCGTGTTCTGCTCAGTCCCAGCATATGGGAAGTTCTCAGCAAAAGCTGCCGGAATGCATACAGAGGATCAGGGAAGTGTGGAGTCACTGGCAGAAACAAGCAGAGAGTTCAGTCCAGCCCAGACCGCAGGTTCCACATAGGGAAGGCTGGGCAGCTGGGTGTAGGGCCTCCTGAATGCCCGACAGAGCATTCAGGCATGACCTGGAGAAGAGCGTTATCCTTTCTTAAATAGTCAGCAGTGGCGGAGGGAGGTGTTGGTGGAGAGATGGCGGCTCTGACCTCACCCCGTATTAGTCCTTTACTGAGTCCTAATAGAAATGGGATCTGAATGAGGGTGCTCCTGCCAGCAGCTCCCGGGAGAGAATGGCTGCACAGTGTGGGGACCACAGCAGGAGATAGGCGGGGCACAGGGCTTCTGAGGATGCTGGCTTCCCCCAGACCCACAGGCCCCGCAGACCAGCATTGGTTCTTCCTGCAGGCCTCTGGCCCCAAATCCAGGCCCATTCCTTCGGCCCTGGCCCCGGTGCCCACTGGGAGAACTGGTATTTCTAGCACATTTAATTTATTTTAGCTATATAATGAAATTCCTGTGACCCCCCTGAGGATATCTTGAAATACATCCCATGCGCACTAACTAGAAGTGACAACTGACCCCAAGAGGTTTCTGATGTGTCAGAGGATCTATTTCTTTGTCCTTAGAGCATTTTTTCTGAACTTTTTGCTCCCTCTTGCTGGCCAAAATAAGCAGGGAATGGTAGCATCCCATAAAGGTCTCAACATTCATCTATTCCTTCCCCTGAGTGCCTACCTCTGCATCAGGCACTGTTCTAGGCACCAGGGATATGACCACCTGAGCTTACATGTGTAGTGGGAGAACAAACAAATGAGTGAAATATTTGGTGTGTCCCAAGGTGGTAAGCGCCATGGAGAACAGTTACGCAGGAGGTGGGAGTGGAGAGTGTGGCGTGGGGGCCAGGGCATCTTGTCAGCTTAAAGGGAGCTTCCGGGAGAAGCTCATGGAGAAGGTGACATGGCTCTGAGGGTGACCCGGGAGCCTGGGGCCCCTTGGGCTGACCAGCCAGCACGGTGGAGGCAAGAGTTGTTACAACTCCTGATTTTTGTCTGTTGCCTGTGACTTACTGACAACGCTGCCAGTCCAGCACAGCACATCTGCGAGCTGCTCATTTTCAGGCCCTCGGCCTGGGGCTTCCCTGGCCTCGCCATCAGCCGTGCTCATTATCTTCTGTGCTAATTCGCCCACGTTGAGTTGACTAGTGTTAAGATCCTAAACGCAGGGGTGTGTTTCTGAGTCTTGTTGCTCCTTGTGGAGATGTAGACTTTTCACACTGGAGTTGGCAGATTTCTAGGGTTGGGGAGTGCATCCTGAGATGGCATTCATGTTTTGGCATTTTCATTTCAGGGGTGGTTCTTAGAAATTCAGCTTAGAGGTGTCCAGATCACCTCAGGGTCAGACTGTGGGACATGCCACCAGGGCAGCACATGTGTCTACGTTTGCTGTCACCTCCAAGCCCCTGAAAGCCGTGAGACCTTAAAGTTGGCTGAGGTTTGACGCCAGAGACAGAGGGAGAAATGGCCGTCCCGTGGTACCAGGCAGCACACGCTGGCAGCGCACAGAAGAGCCGGGCTGTGCAGTCACACCTGTGCTCGCCAGCCTGTGCCATCAGGCGATCCATTCCCACTACACAGGGGGACTAAGCATCCATGGAGAACACGCAGACCCCCAGGGCCAGCAATTGGATGAGCCCCCTGCTGATGCAGAGCTCAGTGACGCTCCAGTGCTGACCTCATCAAGTGAACAAGGTGGAGTTGTCAGCTGGCATGTGCGGATTGGCATTCAAGGATGTTTTTAAGCTTGAAGACTGATTGTCCTAAATGTGCAAACAAAGAGAGTTACCAATCTTTTTTCCCCCATTTTGTTGAGATATAATAGACATACAGCACTGTATACATTTACTGTGTACAGCATAACTACTTGAGCTACAGACAGTACATCATGCTTATGCGCTCAGGCATTTTTTGCATTGACATAATGGGAGTCTAAGTATAAAAACACATTTTAAGAAATACATAGGCTTCCAGGTCTGAAGCCCCCTCATAGTTTGAGATTGAATTAGAGCAATATAGTATCATATACAACCTTAAACTGATGCAACATTAAGTGAAGGTAACTGAGGATATGGATGTGAATTTTTATTGGCTTTTTAAAGATTTTGTATTTATAGCTATGCTTTGGTCTTAGTAATTTAAGAGCTTTAGTAGATTAAGTTTTTACTTGGCATATTAATATGTATAATAAGTAGTCTAATAAAAATTACTGTTAATAAGTGTCCATTTTATTTATTTTGTTCCTTAGGAGAGAATTTAATATTTGAAGATGAAATCACTGCATTGCAACCTGAAGTAGATAAGCTAAAAACTCTAAATGTGAACAAAATCATTGCCCTGGGACACTCTGGTTTTGAAGTGGATAAACTGATTGCTCAGAAAGTGAAGGGCGTGGATGTGGTGGTGGGAGGCCACTCCAACACATTCCTTTATACAGGTAAATGTGTGTCAGAATGTCTAGATAACCTACTTAGTCTCTTTTGCCTGTGTAACTATTATTATTTTTACTACTATTTACACATTGAATAGTAACCTGTAAATCTTCCACAAGGAGACATTACTAAGCATTAATTTACTGGTTGCTTGATTATGTCAATTCCATTTATTTATGTGTATTATAAATATATACAAAATACATGGGTAAAATATATCTGTATAACAAAAAGATTACTGAGCCCCAACCAGGAGTCTGTTTACATCAAAAAGCAACATGACATATAAGAAATTTTAAGCATAAACAAAATAATGTAAATAAGGCCTTCATAGCTCAAGGTGACAGGAGTTGAATTACAGGGTCACAGGTCCCCGAACCTGGAGCTGTGGGCTCAGGTCCAGACTGGGCTGCGTGCTAGGGCTGTGAGCATCCCAGAAGCCACCGGCTCCTCTTGGAAGCGTGTGCTCCCCCTGCCTCCCCCTCCTTACTTCGCCTCACTCTGTCTTTCCTTCCCACTTTCCCTCTCCTTCTCCAGCCCGTACCCACAACCTTCTTTCTCTCCTTAGTGTTAGTAGTTTCAGTTAGTAATTTTTTTTTTTTTTCTATTTTGAACCTATGATGTCCCAACACTTCTGAGTCTGGCTCAGTGAATCTTTCCTACCAAGCCCCACCATCACCACGCTCACTGCATGGAGCTTTCAAGTATTTTCAAGAACAGGAAGAAGAGGAGGAGGGCCTGGCTGGTAACTGACCATCAGCAGTGGGAAGGAAGGCCTTGGTCGGGGACACCCTCCCCTTGAAGAGGTCGCTGCTTTGCCCTTCTCTGTATGGGTTACCTAAGGCAATCCTCTTTTTATAAAAGCAAAAATAAAGAACACCTGAATGCCCAAAAATGTTAAAAGAAGTATCATCAAGAAGAGCAGACAGGTAATTTTTATACCTTTTAGTATTTTCAAATAAGGAATGCATGTTGCTTTCGCCACCAGAAAAAGAGACATAAACTATAAAAAGAAAAGAAAGAACCACAGTGTTGGGTGAGAAGTCCTCATTCCTGATACACTTGAAAGACCTTGAGCAGGTCACTCCCCTTCTCTGAACCTTTTGGCTTCCATTCAAAGTGGGGATGATAATGCATAAAATGCCACGTTGTTGTGAAAACTGTGTGAGACGGTGAACACGAAGGCCCTCTGTAGTCCCTAACTAGCCGGCCGCCTCTGCGGCCAGGTGCCAGACCGCCCACCGGTGAGAACTGCCGGGCTGCACTGTGGCGCCGCCAGCCCCCTCACACCGTGGGACCGGCCTTCACTTAAGGAAATAATGCTGGTGTGCACACGCTCAATGCTTCCTGATCCAATTCCTTACAAGTATTTTGCCTCTTAGTAGACACAAGCTAGAGAATAATACCAAACAAGATTATACCCATTAGCGATTGTGAAATCAATGGTAGTGAATTAATAAAACCATAGGGTTTTTTTTTTCTAACAGACTGGATTACATAGAGTGTGTACTTACATTACTCATTGGAAGGATATATATTGCTCCACAGAAAAAGACAAATATAACACGATGAGAACAGCTCCAGGCACAGAGCAGGCAAGCACCATGACAGGATAGTGACACGGCCTTGACAATGACGGGCACCTCCTTCATGTGGGTAGCATTGCAGTCAAACATCTGAGAGCCACTTAACATAGCTGTGGGAGAGTTAGATGGACTGTAAGTGTCAAGAGGAGGAAGAACCCCTCGGACAGGTCATCAGCCAGCACCAGGTAGAGGCTCCGACTCCAGCTGCGCTGCTGACCAGCGGAGGGGCCACCCCTGCCCGCTGTCCCTCATCTGCCAGAGTGACGCAGTGCCTGCGGTAACTATCACTGTGACAGGCCTACTGAGTGGCTGAGGGGAGGTGCCAGGGCAGGGCCAGCACGTGAGCCGTCCCTACTTCACCTACAGCCCAGCTCCATCGTCAGACCCATGAAAAACCTTTCCCTAGAGCCTTTTCTTAGCTTTTTGCTGAGGCATTGTCAGAAGATGAACACACAGCAGGAACTAGATATGTGCCTGTACCCCCTCATCCTTGAGAGTAGTGGTATCAAGTGTTTTTTACTTGATCCACAGGAAGACAGGCCATGTGCATAAGAACCCAGCACACACTCTCAAACACACACACTGAAAGAAGACTTTCACAAAGTCCCTGTCCCAGTGGGATTTTTCCTGGTCTTGACACCTGGATGCACCCTGACTTTTCTGCTCCACTGTTTCATTTTTTTTTTAAGTGCCTATTACCACCCATTGGATTAATATCTTTGTACTGTAGCTAGCCCATATTTCAAAAAATTCGGTTTCAAATGAGGCAGGACCAAAACACTGCACGAATAATCAAAGAAATCTAACCCACCCATTCATGTGCTGAAGTCCTTCCCATGGCCCTCTGGACTTGCTTTGCCAGCATCTTAACCAATGCTGTTCTCCACACCAGGGGTCAGCCACAGCCTCGGGGTGTGGCCATCAGTTAGCACGCCCCATGGGCCTGGGAAGTTTTAGTGACTGTGCCTGGCTTCGCAGTCATTCTGCAGCCTTTACTTTTTGTTGTCCCTGTCACTTTGTCCCATCTAATGAGGTCCCGTCAAACAATATGTGCCTTTCACTAAGCAGATGAATTTAGTTAATGATGAATGAGTGGATAGAAGAAAGATTTGGGGGTAAAAATTATAATTTGCTTACCCATAAATCTTAGAGTAGACGATCTTTGAAAAAACTGCCTCTAGAGTCTTAGTCACTTATTTATTTCACATTTCATGATTGCTTACCAAGATTAAACCTGTTTTCATGAAAATATTCAGTTGTGATACTCATCATTTTGAAGAATGAGCATAACAGTTGAAGGTATCACTAGGACACAAGAGCAGATGAGATATATTTGCTTGTTTGCGTCAATTTTCATGGCGTTAAAAAAACTTCACTGAATTGTTTTTGAAATTGGCATAAAATTAAGGTTAAATATGATGAGTTAATAAAAATATAGTTAGAACAGTACATCCCTTGGAATCTTGCTGAGAACCATTTTAGCCACACACAGGGTCCAGCACCCACACATACACATATACCTGAAGGAAAATTTCACAAAGGATCTGTATTGCACCTGATCATTTTCTCTTCTGTTATTTATCTATTTTTAATGCTGGTTGCCACCTATTAAATTAATCTCACTGTGCTATAGATAGCCCATAGTTTTAAAAACTCAGCTTTAATCGAGGCATGACAAAGAGTGCGTGACCTTCTCCCCTTCAGAGGTTGAACATCATGCCAGGTTCTTTGATTAAACTGTGGTGCACATGCAGGTAAAGCTGGTCTTGCCTGTGCATTCTTGGCAATCAGAATGAAGAGGAGAAAGTTTCCCCCAACCAGGCTTATAGAATCTGAAAGCTGCAAGGATGAGGACTGGTTGGAAAATGGCTTCTCTAAAGGAATTAAATCCTTGAGTCATGAATGGGTCCATGTTGTTGCCTTTGGAGGAAAAAGTAGCCAAGTGAGTGCAGGTCGAAACCAGGGGGCTCTATCCTCCATGGGGCCCCAGAGGGCGGACTCATACGAGCCTGTCACTGCTTGCTTCCCACTGCTTGAACTGAATTTTGGATTATGCAGGCCAGTCTTGCTAGCTGTGGTGAGGGTGAGTGTGGACTTCAGTATGTGTATCTGCAGAGTAAGCCTACGATCTCTTCCATTCTAATGTCCGGTCCACCAGACAGCCATCCGTGCAGAGAACCTGATGACTTACTTTCCAAAATCTGGAAAATAAAAACTTGGGGGTTAGACTATTAACCTCCTCTGAAGCTGCAGAGAATTGAATTATACCTTTAAGAGCTTTGGGCTCAAACCTCCTACTCTGTCCCCTCCAAATCTTCCGGCCTCCAAGCAACGACACCCAGAAGTTGGCACCCAACTTCCGTCTCCCCCTCCACGCCAGCTCCAGCCTTCATTCTCATGGCTTCTGCCACCATTTCCCCAATGGCTGTCCATACTTATATTTTTTTTAATTTACAGAAATTATATTGGTCATTGCCATAGGGTGGTGGGTCCACAGATAATCTTTTCTTTTCTCCATTGGCCAAGTATTCTGTCATGCTAGGTTTCCTTCTGTAAACAAATTAAAAAACAAAGATACAAATAAAGCCCTTTCTAAATCCTGTAAACTTAACCATTAATCCTAAACTTTATTAAGAGAAAATTTTCCACAAACCACTGGCTGATCTAGCAGGCTTTTATTCCCTGATTCATGAATCGGGCAGCATCCCTTCCAGCAAAGAGGAAGGAGCTCCGAGTTGCACAGAGTTAACTGAGCAGGATCAAGGGCATTCCTCCGGGCATTGCTGATGGGCTGAAGCAGGGTTTCTTTCTTCCTGTGGCACAAAGGGAAGCCCTAGTCACAGAACTGGTGCCGAGGGGCCTGGTGCTGACTGTCTGATTGAGGCCCTCCCTCTCTGGCAGAGCCAGGCATAGAAATGCAGTTACATTGTGGTTTGCTGTTTGGGGCTTAGTATGAGCAACTCCATTTGGGGCCTGTTCTGGTTACTTTAACACCTTGAACTACTGTGAATACTTTTATTAATTAAAAAAGCAAAAGAAGATACATAATCAATTTGAGAATCTGAGCTAAATACACAAATGACCAAATGTATCTTCTTGCCTTTAAAAGATAAGAAACCCGAAATGCCATGCTTTATCCGAAGCAGCCTGGCTGTGTCTCACTCAGGTCTCTGATCTTTGGTGTGTAACCTCCAGGTTCTCTTAGATAAGCATGTTTAACCATGTTCTCCAGGCTCCCTTGCTCACCAGTGTGGCTGAAGTGCATGGTTTGTGGCAATCAGCTGGTAAGACCTCTCACCAAAGGCAGACACACAGCATTTCTCAGGGCATGCATCCACCCCACAAATGCCTTCTCCAGCTAAATGCTGATTTTCCCTAAAATATATATCAGGCTTACATCAGTTTATGATCATGAATACCCCCTTTTTAATCTCAAGAAATAAAGTTATTCCTTCTGAGAGAGCCCTGTTAGTAAATGAAACTATAAGGGTATGTTAAGATGAAAATGTCTCTCTCTATCTCTTTCCTCTGGGCTCTGCATTTTAACAGGCCCTGGTGATAGAACCAGAGGATGGTGGTTTGATTTTTGAGGGTTTTTTTTTCATTTGTTATATAAAGCCCTATCATATAATGTATATGGCCCCAGAACAGATACTAATCACGGGATGGCTAGATCCTGTGTGAAGAGAGGAGGGTGGCAGAGAGCTTTCCTTCCCCTGCTCTATCCCGGTCAAGCAGCCTCTCCCCGCCTCATACAGAGTAAGCACACAGGCCAGTGGGGATCCAAAATGTGGGGCGCTTGGAGTTCTACACATTTGTCGAATGGGTGAGTGTGCGGTGAGCGGCTCCCTCACTTGCCCCAGCCAGTCGGGAGTTGGTACACACAGCCCGGATTGGATTTTATAGGGTTTTGTGCCCACTGTGGGTTCTTGCCGAAGATGCGTAATCTTTTTTAGACCATATTTGTGTTTCAGAAAGATCACTCGGGCTGCCATGTGGTGACTGGATTAGAGGAGGCCAAGGAGATGGGCGGAGACCCATAAGGAGGCTGTCACAGTAACCCAGTCACAAGATAATGGTGACCCAGGACCCTGGCTTGCCTGAAGACATGTAGGGAGATAGACAGATAAAAGCAGTGTCTGGTGAAAAACAGCACTTTCAAGTAACTTAAAAGGGTCGTTCAAGTCCCTTAGAAGCAATGATGTGAAATATGCTGATTACCAGTTATTTTTATCTGGTCCTTTTATAGGAGGGTCCGAATTTCTTAGGCTGGTGCCCACGTACATTTAAAGCATAGCGTGGACTGCCTTGAAACATTCCATAATTCAGCCAATGAAAACCTGTCAAAGGCCTGCACCCTGGCACAGCTGCCACCAAGTGATCCACCCTCTGCCCGCTCTGGCCCCTGGGAGGGCCGTTGCCCAGGCCTGCACTTGGAACCGTCACATTCCTGAGGGCCTGCTGCTGGGGGCTTCCAGGGCAGGGCCCTGTAAGGGTCTCTCAGGCAGCTGCACTGTGCTAGCGGATGCCCCTTCTACCAACTAAATGTCAGCCCACAGCTCATGGCGTCTCCAGGTCTGGTTCTCAGATTCTGTATTTGCTAGATGGCTGGAAGAGAGTTCTGGTGAGTAATTTCTCTCCTGCCGAGATTGTAAGTTGGGTTTCTGAAGACAGATGGAAAATGTGAAGTCCTGGCCTGCTTTCTCTGCCAGTGGTTTTTCCGGGGTTGCCGCAATGGGAGGAGCACGAGGGCTCTGGCTGTGGAGAAGGCAGAGCTTAGCCAAACAAGCCCTGCTGCTCACGTAGCCACGTGGGGAGCATCCTCCCTGTTCCTAATTAAGGCAGTTTAAGGAGCAGATGACCTGTCTTGTTCTAACAAAAGGAACATCAAGGCCTTTAGGAGCTGGGGAAGATCCCCTGACAGCTGGGATCTGGGGCTGCTAGCTCCTGTTTGTGCAGTGCCTGACCTGATGAGGCATTTGACCCGATGATGAGGTTCCTCAGCTTCACTTGCAGTTTTAAGTTCGGTTATGTCTGTGAAAAAAGGAAAGTAAAGGCTGAGAAAAAGCCAGGTTAGTGCGCCACCTTGTGGACGTTTGGAAACTGCACCTCCTCAAACTTCTCTGGGCTGAGACCCTCTCCAGCCTAGGTGGTAGGGGGCTGCCATACCCTTTTGCCCCCGAAGCTAACACCAGGCTCCAGGCTTTCCCGAAGGAGGACCAGCACAGAACCGAATGAGGGCGATGAGAGCTGTTAACATATCCCAATACTCGGACTGTCAGCCGCCCGCCCGTTGCCCCTGAGGCTGTGCACTGCACACACAGATAGAGCAAGGCCTCCACAGGGTCTCAGATCAGGTGCTCTTGTAGAAATAAAGTTCCAAGTCTTTTTTCTCTGTCATTTCTTTCCCAGGGGAAGCAAGAAATAGGAAATTAAGGTGGGCAACAGCTATTTCCTGCTCGTGAAGTCTGGTGCTTGCAGCACTTCTGCCCGGTGGCACTGAGCTGGGAAGGGGCTGCTCTTGGCACAGGGGCGGGAGAGGAGTGGGTTTTCCATAACATTCACCCCAGAGACAGCGGGGGACCCAGAGCACAGACCCTGGGCTTGCCTCTGATCCGCTGAGGGGCCTCTGGCGGCCGGCTCTTGCTGACTCCGCGAGGGCAGCTCGCCGTAGGCTGTGCTGGGCGACGGAGGGAACGGCCGCTCCGGCATCTCGCAGCCTGCTCCTCACTTGCCTGTCCTTACCCTGCAGCTGTGACCTTGGACACACTACCTGGCGGGGGGGAGGCGGGGTAGGAGGGTGATAGGAGGACCTGCCTCCTGGGTGCTTGGAGGAATCCGGGAGGTCCATCCCAGGGCCTGGCTCTGGGCCGACTCCTCACTGGTCCGTGTGAATGACCAGCACATTCTGAAGTCCCCTCTGCCGTCTGTGAGCCTCTAATGGGAAGGACTGCGGATAGGTGTGGTGTCAGGGCAAGAGAAACAGTAGTGAGTCAAGGGTATCTGTTCTATAGCCTCTGACTCAAAACAAGTCATTGTCTCCGTGGATGTAAGACTGAGCTGCACGGTGCCCGAAGGAAGGGTCAGTTATACCAGTGTTCTGTATCAAGGGATTCGGGGCCGGGGCCTACACTCCGGGTGGCTGGGCTTGTGGCAGGCGGCAGTGGTGGGTGCGCCTCTCAGCCTCTAGGCAGTGTCTCCTAAGCGCTCCACAGGGGTCCTCTTTGAGACGCAAGCCAGCAAGACCTGACCAGCATGGGGCTCGGCCCGGGGCAGCGGTGGGCCCGCTGGTGGCTGCCAGAGGGAGCTGGTTCTTCTGAAAGAACCTGAGGGGATGCAAACCTGAGAACAGCCCATTGTCATTCCTGCTCATTTTCCTTGCTCTGGAGTGTGTGTCTAGGCTTTCTGGGGCTGATGCCTCACGAGGGAAAGGGGTGTACACTTACTGTGTCCTGTGTCCCAGCCGCTGCGCAGGGGCGCTCAGGTGTTCCATCCCCTAAGCGGCTCTGCGAAAGGCAGGCTGTCACGTGACCCCCTTTACAGGCGAGGAGACCCCGTGCAGTCACGTGGCCTGGCTGTTCCACTGGCCAGGACGGGGTGGGGCCTGGGTTGGGGAGTACGCAGGGCGATGTCAGCAGGATGGCACCTGCATGTCCCCCGCAGCCCCAGGCCCAGTGCCTTGGACTAGGAAGAGCTGAGGAAATGCCTGATGCGTTGGGAACGGAAGGATCCATCTGCCTCAAGGGCATGCAGAAATGGGGCCTGTTGCCCCAGCTGTGCCCTGAAAGACCAGCTCTGTAGGGCCACAGCTGGCAAATCATCAATTCAGACGCTACTGTCATCGGGCCAGTGGCCAGCACCTGCAGCCGGGCATGCACAAGGCCTGGCTTGATCGGCTTTGGCTCTTCTATTTTAGGTACTCCACCTTCCAAAGAGGTGCCTGCTGGGAAATACCCGTTCATAGTCACCTCGGATGACGGGCGGAAGGTTCCCGTGGTCCAGGCCTATGCTTTTGGCAAATACCTAGGCTATCTGAGGGTTGAGTTTGATGAAAAAGGAAACGTCATCACTTCCCATGGAAATCCCATTCTTCTCAACAGCAGTGGGAGTGGGGAGGGGTGTTATGCTTTTTATTAATGTTTCAGGACAAAACCATAATATTTCTGAAGAATTGATCTGCTCACACATTTACCCTCTTCATGGATGAGACTGAAAACACACCCCCATGCCTGAAGTCCCCGTGGGCTTCTTTCTCCAAGTCCGCTCAGCACCAGACTCGGTGCCTTTTCAAACTTTGCCCTGGCAGGAGACAGCCACTCTCAGCTCCAGAGGAGAGCTTCCCACTGAAGCAATGGGGTTCAATTTAGGAACAGCGAGGCTCCAGCCCTGGCCCACAGGAGCCGTGTGCCTGGGGCCAGCTGTCCAGTCTTGATCGGCTTCAATTTCTTTATCAAGTGAGGGAGTGTCTTTCTTACTTTTTTGTCTGAGACTCAGAGGAACAATACATTTTATGTCACCCTTTTTCAAATAGTATACAGGAACGCATTCCTGTGCTTTCCTCTCAGCTGCCCTTCAGTGCTTACCATTGATCAGATCGGGGGAGCACAGGCTGTGAGGGGCCACAGTGCCCAGAACCCGTGGTCACAGCACAGCACCCCCAGCAGCCGGAGGGAGGGGCCTGGGCTGCAGCGGAACCTGAGCAGGCCCTCTATGCCTGGCCCCCACGCCGTTCGACGGCTCCCCACCACCACAATGAATGCCTGTTGGGCAGGCCCACGGGTACTCATGCAGATGGCATGAGTTGATGTTAGGATGCCCAGCAAGTCTTTGTATTAAGATCCCTTCCAGGGCTTACTACCAAGGAACAAGAGGTTCCTAGGGAAATCTCACAGACCCAAAAGGTCCATAAATATGATAAAGAAATGTATACGTGCACAGGTAAACCAAATGACATTTGATTCCTTCTCCAAAATTTAGGCCAGTGTGAGCTCTGTGTTAACTGCCAACTGCTTTGTTTCTCATTTGTTTTACTTTCTTCTAGACCCAAGTATAAAAGCAGACATTAACCAATGGCGGATAAAATTGAATAATTATTCTACCCAGGAACTGGGGAAAACAATTGTCTATCTGGATGGCTCCACTCAGTCGTGCCGTTTTAGGGAATGCAACATGGGCAACCTGATCTGTGACGCTATGGTGAGTGGCCCCAGGAGCCTGGCGCCATGCCGAGGGACAGAGTGCAGGGGGAGGAAAGAGGAGGAGGGGTGCAAGGAAGGAGCCTGAGGGTCACAGATCTAGGGGCGCCCTAGACCAAAGCTTGGCGTGGACTCACAGCCAGTACCTTGGAAAGGTGCCTGAACTAGGCCAGCTGACCACCACTTACTGCTTCTAGGCCTGGAGCCTTATTCTGTGGTGGTCACCCTGGGCTTGCTTCCTTTCTCCAAGAGGATCTAAGTACACAAACTCTGCTGCTCTGAGGATATAGATGTAGTGGATAGAACACGTCTCCTTGGGCCTTGCCTGCCCAGACTGAATCTCACCTCTCTGTCCTCTCGGCTCTGGAGAGCTAGGGACTGGGACCTCCTATCCAAGCAGAGAATGATGACATAGTTGTGATGGTAGTAAGCACTGTGGCTGAGTGAGATCACCCATGAGAAGCACTGTCCACTGTCACCCATGAAAAGCAGGCAGTGGCGCGGCGGCGCCCTGGGGGCCATGCCCAGCCGAAGGCTCCCAGGTCAGCTGCACCACTCCCATGGGCTCAAAGCCCACACCCTGGGGGGGCTGTTTCTTTGTGCCTGGCACAATGCCTGGGATACAGCCACTCTCAACAAATTTCTGCCAAGTGAATGATGTCTCATGCTTTCCAAGGTGAGGCCGGTGCTGGCTCCCCAGCTTCATGCAGCCAGTGCAGGAGAAGCCCGTATGTGAATGTTTAGAGAGAGGTCTTGAAGAGGGCACCCCCCTGCCCCTGCCCCGGGCTGTCAGCAGTGCTTACCTCTCTTAAGAGGCTAGGGATCAATTTTGCTTTTTCACATTTTTTTCTTCAAGTGATAGTGTGTTCATTTTATTTCTTGTGACTAACATATATTTTGTAAAAGAAAAGTAAGAATGAAACTGGTTCTCCCCAGTTTCAGATGGCTGTCTCTGCCTCCAAAATTGCCAATGTGGGAACTGGCTGGGGACCTGGACATGGAGGCCAGAGTTCTTGTTGGCCTGAGGTCTTAAGTTGAAAGGCTTTCAATTCCATCCTCAGAGCAAGTGTGGGGTCTAGCCTGGAGGAGGCCGTGGAGGGGCAGCGAGGCAGGCTAGTCTGCACGGAGGCCCCGCCCTGACACATCTATGAGCGGGTTTTGCTAGGGCTCACTGGCCTGAGAGCCCAGGGGTCTTACTCTCTCACTCAGGAGTAGGGACTCAGAGCCATTTGCTTCAGAGAGTCTGACATGGGACCGGTCACAGTATCTCATTTTTGCTTTCTGAGCATAAAACTAGTTCTGACTAAACATACCTGAGAAATCTCTGGGGACACAGGAGCGGGAGAGATGCACCTTTATTTCTTCAGTAGAGCTAACCAGATCCCTGGAACTGGTCCTCAGGAAGAAGACCCAAAATAGCTAATGTACATTCATGCTGCTATTGCAGATCAACAACAACCTTAGAAAGCTGGACGGAGACTCCTGGAACCACGTGTCCATGTGCATTTTAAATGGTGGAGGCATTCGGTCACCCATTGACGAGCGGAACAATGGTATGCACCCAGGGCTTCAGCTCACGTGTTCTGTCTGACCGTGCCCGTGGGCAGCCTCAGTCCATCTCTGCAGCCAGCCATGTACCACTATGTCAGTGCCTTCGGTTTGGGCTGACTGTTGCTCAAGTCAGTGCCTGACCCAAAGGGCACACACACTTATATGTTCACACAGAGGCAGCAGCTAGGGTTAATGGAACCCAAGCTTGATCTAAACTTCTGACTTAGAAAGCTAAGTAGGCTCTTGCTGATCTATGCAAAATACTGACAATCTCCTCCTTGATATCCAAGAAGAAGACAACTGTCCAATCTCTGTGCTGGAAAAAAATAGACCACTGGATCAAAAACTTTTAGAGCATTTACAGATATCCAAGATTATATCATATGGTGAAACAAACCAATTAGGAAGATACTCAAGATATTCTTGCAGACTTCCCTGATACACTGTCAGATGCAGTCGGCCTCAGTGTAAGCCCCAAGCTCACCCCATGGCCTCATGGGACAGGAGGCAGGGACACACTGCCTGTCTGGAGGAGTGCAGCAATCCCTAACACCGCTGGAGAGGCAGCCTCCAACCAGGGGATACAGGCCAGAGCACAGGTGACTGGAGCTGCAGCCAACCGTGAGCTCCCTCCGTCTTGCCCAGGAGTGGAGGGCGCGGCCAGAAGCCCCTTGAACCCATGCCCCCGCTGGATATTAGGAGCCACTCAGACACACCGAGGGAGCTCAGATCCCCCAACAATCTTAGGGGAAACTGGTTTTGGTGTAAGCTTGTCCTCAGGCTGTTTTCCTTCTTGCCCTGTCTGTGATGACCCTCAGGCACGATTACCTGGGAGAACCTGGCTTCTGTGTTGCCCTTTGGAGGCACCTATGACCTGGTCCAATTAAAAGGTTCCACCCTAAAGAAGGTCTTTGAGCACAGTGTGCACCGCTATGGCCAGTCCACTGGAGAGTTCCTGCAGGTGGGCGGTAAGTCAGCCTCCAAGGGGAGGGGGCCTTTGCTGCTGGTCTGCTTAGCTCCCCCTCACCAGGCTCCATGGCCAGGATTGTTTGGGTGTCCCCCGACCCAGCAACAGCGTTTAGTCTTTCAATGGCAGTGGAGTCCCAAACCAACCAGACTCTGTCAAAATTAAAGCCCCAAGGCCCTGGCAATGAGCAGTACTTGTCAAATCTGATTTGGACATCAGATGGGCCTTCTGCAGGAGCTGGCCCTCCAGCCTTTAAGCAGGTCAGCTGCCTTGCTGTCCCCTTCCTGTTAAAATCTTAGTTCTTTAAATATTCAATATGCTTTGTGAAAAAAAAAAATCCCTCCTCTGTTCTACTCACAATTACCTGGAACCATGCAATGGTTCAAAGGAATAAAGTATCCAGTCAGGATTGACAAGGATGATTTCTGGAAGGGGCAGCAGCTGTATAAACACATGGGAACACCGGATTCTGTTTCCACTGTGAGCTGGTACATGTTTTCAACCCCTCTGAGTGCAGTGAGAAACCTGCCCTGCCCATCCCATGGACTGCAGTGAAAACTGAATGAAAATAAATGCTTCCCAACTTGCCAAGGACTTCTGAAATGCTTTGGTCAATAATTCCACAGTATAATGAATTATACGTTCATAATTATTTGATTTTGACACCGTTTGCTGGCCCGCACTTTTTTTCTAACTGTAGATGGTAGCTGCCACTTAACAGGTGTGATTGCTTTGTCGGGGCCTCCCTCTGCAGAGCACCCCACTGCTGGAACTGAGGGCCTGAGGAAGGTGGCGGGACCCCAGCCTGATGCCTGTGGTAGCCTAAACTTTCTGCATTTTTCTAGGGGAGAGTGGAGAGAACAGTGGGGTTTTGATGCCCCGGCACAGCACAGGGTAGTTGTATGTTTAGTAAAAGTCTCCCAAATTATAACCATTTAGTAGTCTTCAAACTTGTAGCAAATGACCCATGCCTCTCATCTAGTTCTCATTTTCCAAGGCCACTAAAACAAGTAGCCGGACCAGTTCATTCAGGATTTCAGAAAGACGTGGTTTCTCCCTGCAGACTCACTCCTTGCCCCTTCTGAGCCACAGCCTGTTTTCCTCCCAGTGGTTCTCAGACACCCCCGAGAAGAACTCAAGGATAAATCTAACCAAGAAAGGGTATCCTGCAATATCACCCCCCTCTTTCTGGCTGAAATTTTCCATAAGTCCAGTGCTCCAACTCCCAATTTTGGCCAAAATCCCTTTTTAAGAAACAGAAATGTGCCTTTGAATTCAGTGAAGATGTACCAACTCTTTTCTTTTCTAGGAATTCACGTGGAGTATGATCTTTCCCGAAAACCTGGGGACAGAGTCGTCAAATTAGATGTTCTTTGCACCTGGTGCCGGGTGCCCAGCTACGAGCCCCTCAGGATGGATGAATTGTATAGGGTGATACTCCCAAGCTTCCTTGCCAGTGGTGGAGATGGATTCCAGATGATAAAAGACGAAATGTTAAAACATGATTCTGGTAAGCCCCAGTGTCCCTTCCTGTCTCTGTCTTCAGAAGTGGTATTCAGGAACAATATTCCTGTGTGTATGTGTGTCCATGCCACAAGTACTTTATCCATTCATCCATTCATGAACACTTGATTGTTTCCATATCTTGGTTATTGTAAGAATGCTGCAGTGAACATGGGGGTGCAGATATCTCTTCTATAGTATTTTTGTTTTCTTCAGATAAACACTGAGTTGCTGGATCGTGTGGTAGTTCTATTTTTCTTTTTTTGAGAAGCCTCCATGCTGTCTTCCATAGCTGCACCGGTTTACATACCCACTAACAGGGCATGTGGGTTTCTTTTCCTCTACATCTTTGCCTCCACACTTGCTATTTCTTGTTGTTGTTTTTTTTT